TTTTTTTTTTTTTTTTTTTTTTTTGTTTATTTTATTTCATTTTTTGGCATTATTTGTATGATATCGTGCTCATTATCTCCTAGTAAGTACTGATTAGCACGCATAAACGTATAGCAGTTATCATTAACCGTATGTATGAATATATGGGTGAATATGCGAGGGCCGACTATAAAATTTAGCAAAATTTTTTCAAATTTTTGCCTGCAACTATAAAATTTGAAAAATCTTCGAGCTAAGACTCTTACGATCAGCTGACTTTGTTGTCCTGTCCATAATGCAAAGGGCAAAAGGGCTTGAAAAACTTTGATTGCTAAGCTTATATAGATTTATTACTGTAACGATATATAAAAAATTTATGAAATGTGTATAGTGTGCAAAAATATTCGTCAGAGATCCCCTATAGCATACATATTTTAGATCAGTGCACATTACCAAACAAATTTGCTTGAAATGTCATGATAGCCGTAATCGCAGAAACTCTGTTCAACAAAACAGACTTGAACTTGAGACTTGGCATTTTGGTCAATAATTCGTTTACATATTGTAAGGAAGCGTTTTTGCTTCCTTACGCAACACAAATCCGTCCGCTTAAAAGTCCACCCGCACTCCGCAGTCAGCAAGTCCGATCTGTCCACGCACATCGTTCTGTGAACAATACACGAGCAGCCTCCCCCAACATCAAATGCATAAAATCATAAAAACACGCACTAAATATGCCTCTACTTGTAAAGAGAAAATCGTAAAAACACACACTAAATATGCCTATACCGTATAAAGGGAAAATGTATGACTTTATAGGACAACTGACATCACGGATAGGGGATGTGACGGTTAGTATTAATCGCCATCCCTGAAAGACTTTGTAGGACAACGGACATCACGGATAGGGGATGTGACAGTTAGTATTAATCGCCGTCCCTGAAAGATTGGGTAGCACAATTGACACTATGGATGAGGGATGTACAGGCTAACTGAGGAACATTTTGTCTTTGTATTAACCGACGAGTAGCGAAACGGGGACACCCCGGCAGCAAATACGATCGATATATCGATCGTATTTATTTCCCTACGCCTCACAGCAGGGTAAGGTATTTCATTTTATCAAAACGTTTGCGATGCCCACCAGGAAACTTCAGAGATCCCACAAAGTGTATATATTCTTGATGCTTGATAATTGATTTAAGCATGCTCGTCTGTCCGTCTGTCCGCCTGTGAAATACCCGTTTTAAACATTCTCTTGACCGCAAAAATGAGGCTGACGATTTGAAATTTGGCAGAGACATTGGAAGTTCTCGTACGTGGATTGATACCGAATATGAGCCAAATCAGTCAAAGTATTAGTCTATAGTACCACGTAAATTGAGAACACATCCGTTTTCCAATTTCTCATTACTCGAAAACAAATGTATATCGATAGGCGATGCTAAAGTATTTATATAGCAATTGAAAAATCGACTGCGCCTACCCAACATCAACACTTCATTTGTTTTTTCAATGCGTTTATAACGCATGGAAAAAAGTTTCAAAAAGCCATGAAGTATATAAATTCTTGGACAATTTCAAATTACGAATGCACCTAAACATGTTCATCTATTCATCTGTCCATCTCTCCTGTCTGCGCAACTGCGTAGCACCTGTGCCGAACATTCTTCCGTTCGCAAACATGACGATATCGTTCAATTTTCAAAAGATACACTTACAAAGCCCACGCACCTATGCGGCAAAGGTTATTGTTTTGAAAATAAAGCAAATCAACCTCGCCCACTCCATATTGGAAAGCGTGAAAATTTAGTTCTTCAACTTTTTTTGTCATTTTCAGGATAACGGTGATGGGTATAAAAGATTCGGTTACGACCGAATACATTTTCTTTACTTTACTCTTTCCTATAATAGCTTTGATCGTTTATTGTCGGTTTGTTTGTTTTTTTTTTTTTTTTTTTTTTATCATTGACCTCTGACATACTTAAATTGGTCGAGCACAGACGCGTGTGAATTCTCTTTCCCAATATTGTGTTGTACGTCGACGTAAAGCAACAGCGATTTTTGACGTAAAATAAAAATATTTGAAAGCAACTGCCGAAAGATTCTCGTTTATCCGCGTCGAAGCAACGACATTCAATGCCCAGCAAGATTGCCACAAGATTGAAGCTCGCCGCTAAGAAAGCTTTCTTTCGTTCAGTTTTGTTCGTCACTAAGAGGATGTTCGCTATTTGAGAAAGTGAGGCCAAATATAAAATGTAATGGCAGCGTATATGTGCACAATCGATAAGTGTTAAGCCTTTACCGACTCTGCGCTCACTTCAAACAATGACCGTCGCACTGAGATTGGAATCCGTGGACACTAGTTTGGTGGTCGCGATTATTACCTATTCGGCTATTGATGCGGATAATATGGATTAGAGTCAAAACTCAGGACGCGCAAAAGTGCTTATGTGACGCAATATTAAAAATTCAGGGAATTTTTTTGATCAATCCTCGTAGATATAATATTTTATTATTATTAAAACGTAAACCGCAGCATGAAATGAAATATTTAAAATAAAATATATTTAACAAAAACGAACAAATAACAATAATAAAAACGCAAGAACTCGACAGTGGAGGCAACAACAACAACAACAACAAGCATAGTATCTTTTTTTTTTTTTTCTTTTTTTTGCAAAGAACTGAACACAGAGCTTATATTTTTACACTTCCGTTTCCGTTGTTGGTTTTGTTGCGCATACACAACAATTTACACACAATATTGTTGATAGCTTTATTGCTATTGCATTCATTCATTCATTTATGCACTGATTTCATTGTTGCATGTTTTCATTCCCCTTCCATTTATTCGCGTTTTTATTCCTTTTTTCCCACCGCTCTTTACCTTTTTTTTAATATATTTCCTTTGTTTATTCCATTTAACATTTCAGTACAAACAAACAAAAAAAAAAAAAAAAAGAAGATATTTTTTGGTTTTTTTATTTTACACATACAGTTCTTTTGTACCTGCCCACATATTTACACCTTCTTGCTTTTACATCATAATCTGTAACTTCCCTCCGAATCAATTTAGTTTTTACTTTTGTGTCTCGCGCTACCAAATATTTTTAAATATGTTATGAAAAATTAACTTTTACATTCTTCTTCGAGCAGGACCACCTGGACCACCAGGTCCACCTGGACCGCCTAGTCACAGTAGAATGCCACAACATGATCGGGATGAAGAGGAAGAAGCGCCGTACTATTCGGCCTCTTCAACGTGGAATATGCGCATTGTTCCGGGCGCGGTTACATTTCCCAATATTGATGAAATGACTAAGGTACGTACATGGCAGAGACCGCACTCTCACGACAAATCATCAACAATTGATTATATCATCATAGCAAGTGTGCATCTGGTATTTTCGCCAGTAATCCGCTTTCATTTTATTAAAACGGATTTTATGCTCTGTTCGTAGCCAAAAAATTGCAAGCATATTAATTTTGACAATTCGAATACATCCATACCGATATCGAGCATTTTTTCCGTCTACAACTAAACGGCTAAAACTAAAGCTTCGCGTATAATGTAGATAACTGTCAACTGTAGATAAAACTTAGACATAGCCCTTATTCCGTGAGTGGGAAAGGGCGTCCAAGATTCGCTTCAGCGTGAATGCCGATTTCTCTTAATTTTATTTCGCTTTATACCTTAACGCATGTCAACAATGCTGTTCAAGTACACTAAGTTTCTCATTGTGCCTATATTGTATATATGTATTTGATCAGTTCTTATGAAATATGAAATTTCGAGCCGTAGCCTTCCAAGCATCCAAGTGTACGACTGCTTCCATTAATGCCATTATTCAAATCTCAAATTAAAAAAGAAAAAAAAATAAACTTTAACCTAAAAGAGATATTATTTAAAAGTTTCGTTCCGAGGACACTTACAACTAACAACTGATGGACATTTAAAATTCGTCTTATGCCAAATAAACGACTCTTGCCTCGAATTTTGTTTCATAAACGTATTTCTTTTTTATTTATTTTTTATTATTAACAGAAATCCGCTATGAATCCGCCTGGTACTTTAGCTTATATTACAGAAGAGGAAGCTCTGTTAGTACGAGTAAATAAAGGTTGGCAATATATTGCGGTAAGTATTAAAATATATAGATATTTATATATTTATGTGATGTATGGAAGCATTTACGATAGAAAGATTACGTTTTTTTTTTTCAATTTTTTCATAGAATAGCTCTTCTAAATGTATTGAACAAATTTTTCTTTTGTGTGATAAATTGCTGTTCGGTATTGAATACAGCGATATCGCCTATTCATATTATATATATATATGTATATATATTTATAAAAATCGGCATTTCATTGAAATCAAAAGTCAAAATGTAAAAGAAATACATATTTAAAAAAAAAAAAAAAAAAAAAAAATTAATTCTAAAAAAATTCTTTCTATTTAAAGCTTTTAAAGTTATTCAACAAAAAATTGATTATAGAAGAATGAAGATGGAAATAGTTAGTAGAGGACCAATAGAGGATGAAACTTAGCAACAGTAACTACAAGTTAGTTAAAGAGAAGATGTACGCACATGTAAGAAGAACAAAAAGTACCGTAATATATTTGACAGAAGGAAATTATCGTAATAAAATAAATTTTCTTTTCAACCGCACATCTATAAAATCCTCCAAAAAGGCCATCAAATTCATATTGCAACTCAGAAAGCGCTAATCGAAAAAGAAATCCATCATTTTTTTGGGTAGGTGGCTGCAGTGTATCTCGTGAAGTATCAATCGAACAATCTCAGATTTATACATGGGAGAGGTGTTGTGTTCCATCAGAACACACACGTCCTTAGCAAATCGCCAGAAACTCCGGAAGCTTTGTTCGGTCGTCGTTCACCATACAATCCGGACTTGCCACCAAGCCATGTTCTTTGTGCATTAGTTGAATTCCATTTTTAACACACAATTGAATGGATCAAACAAAAAATAGCACAAGAACTTTTTTAATGCTAAATGTCACCTTTTCAACAACCATAAATTAGTGATCGTTTAATCGATACTTTACGAGATATCGATCTATCGAAAAAATGATGGATTTCGTTTGTCACAATCCATTATATTACTGTGATCAAACAAGAGAGTGATTCAGAAAAAGAAGAATTTTTGCTTACGTTGCGTTTAAAAGTACTCCTCCTCCATCAGCTTTCAATATTTGCTTTGATTTCGCTTTTATCTCCTCCAACCAAATTGAAACAGTGCCTCCGCAACGGCCTTTGGAGTTTATCAAATAGCTAGTAATTGACATGGGCCCCTGAATATATCACATAAATACCGCATCCATATAAGCCGCCCAGGCGAATAATATTAAGTTCAATTAAAATACGTTTGAAAGATCGTTGTTGATAGACTGTTGCAGCAGTTGATCGTTATATGTTAAACAGGAGCTTGAAGCAAACATTTCAGACAACACATAAGCTTTATCAACGTGGTAAGCTTTTTCAAACGCGATAATCTGTGCGTTGTGTCCTCCCGCAAGAGCGTTAGATAGGGTGTAAAAGTCGTTAGAGGAAACCATCCTGTCCACGTTTGGGCTTCGATAAACAAGATCCCAATTAAATATGAACGCAAAAGGGAATGAATAATGAATTTCACCTATAGAGAAGTGAATTCGAGGTTGTGTCTGTTGTCATTTTACGGTCACAATTTTACGGTAACAATTTTTTCGATGGCAGATGAAAGGACATTTTTCATAAGCTGTAACGAAATTTAGCGTTTCTTTGCAACATGGCTTGAATTTTCAAATATGACTACACAAACAGGGAGATGGACCATCACAGCTACAATCCGGAAAAATGAACTGACCGGAATATTAAATGGACGGACTGAAATGAGAGGTTTGTTAAGAATGTAATCGTGCTTCCGGATCGTTGGATTGTTAAGTTCGCGCCCGAAAAGAGTTGACAGCGCGAGATTGTTGTTTCACATAGTTTTTTCATCTTTTTTTTTTTTTTTTGCTGACGGTTTTCGCGGAGACGCTGAAGTGAAAGGAAGAAAAGAGGGACGAAAAACAAATGTCGGCACGTGTTGATCGGAAAAAAAAATAAAAATAAGAATGCTTGGATTATTAATTGTTCCATAAATTGAAGGTGATTTTCTTGTTCAAATTTTGCTGGTCATTGAGAAAAGTTGTCGAAAGAATATTTGCATTTTTAATAATAATAAAGTGATGTTTGTTACATGATTACTATGTGTATTCTGAAAATATATGGCAAGAAAAAATTGTCTTCGAATTTAAAAAAAGAAACGAAAAAAGGAAGAGAAATCTAATCAGAACAAAGGGCGTATGTGCAAGCAACCAAGAAAGGGACATCTTCTGCTTATTCTATTTAATTTAATTTATGCGGAAATAATACCGAATATTCGTCTAACTAATCAGAAAAACAAATAAACTAAAAAGTAATAACACAATTGCGATATTTATAGAAAAATTGCAAATTCTGCGAATCTATGATAACTATGATGAATATAAGTGAAAATCTTCACATCATCAGAAATTTATGTTGGCTTACAAGTCGGTTCGCATATTAATAACGCCACAGTTGAAAAACACATTTTTCAGAAGACAAATATCAACGTAATAATGCAAGTCTGTAGAGTGCTTGGCTACGATCGTGATTGAATGGTTTTGTCTCGAAAATCGCCTTGTGGGATACAGCCGAAGCGAAATAACTCCTCCACCACGATGGACTAGTCTCCTTTGTACCTTTGGCCTGTTCGTCTACATTCAATAGCACGAAAGCAAGGCAAATGAATAAATACATCTATGGCGTTGGGTGAGCTTTTCGATTATGGTTGCGATTCCGTATCCACAGTGTTTGTGGCTTTATCGTCCGCTATCCTAATTGGTCATTCTTCCAGTATGTTTTTGCTATTGGTCTATTTGCGTTTGGAAAAATTGACATAAGTCTCTCTATAATTTAGAGCCTTTGGCTTGATGACAGCCAAACTGACCAATAAATTAGTGATTGCTCATGTGACCAAACCCGAAATGGAATATTTCGATTGGGCTCTATTGGGTTCGAGTTTGTTGTTCCTTAACCAATATATTAATTGAGTAGTGTCCGAAATATATGGTTACTCTGGTCCACAATAATTTGGAACACTTCGGAGACTTAGTGCCTTACTGCGCATAAGTCAACTTGGAAAATATGTGCTCATTTACGAGTAGATCTATTTACTATAACCCACCCAACCTGCAGCCATCAACAGTTCTAGCGAAAAGAATGGCACCACTGCTCATCCAAGGGCTTCTCGTCAAACCAATAGGAAACATTAATCTCCGATGATTATGGTGCAGCGTATTTTAGAGAGAATTATGACCTTATTCTTTCACTGTATATAACCAGTTTTCCGAAACATCATAAGTGGGACCACCTAAATTTTGTATTAATTGCATTTATATTAAACAATCTATGTATAACAATTTATTATATAGAAGAGGAAGCCAGCTTAAAGGGGCCTCCCATAAACTCCCACAAACAAAAATCAATAGACAGGATGGGTATTGGAAGGCTCTAGAGGCACATAGGATCCGTATTCGGTAGGTTAGGGTTTCGTCTCTCCACATATTCGATAAGGGGCAAGTACGTGTACTTTCTTTTCGTTGTAACTCGCCTGACAGTGTCCGTGAGCAAAAATACCCTCTCACATCTCGCGACGTCGTTCGCTCAGCACTGAGACGTACGCCTCCATCCCTCTTATAGTGGCGCTGCACGGTTGCCTTAATATTTATATGGAGAACCGCTCTAGACACGAGAGGATATAGATAGATATAAAATTGGTGTAATGGTGTCGTTACATGAAACTAATTCTGATAGACATACACACACACACGCCCGATCACACCAAAAAGAAGCTCATCAACATGGGGCCACAACGCCAACCTAGGGGCACATACTACGGTTGCAAGGACCTAGGAACGTTTCATTCAATATACTGATGGACAAATAAACGAGAGACAGCGAGATGGCTAAATGCATTCACAACATTGCTCTGTTGAAATATTCAAAACAGTTGATATTTTATTTTTTTCGGGCAATTACTTCTGACTTTTTAACGTGTCAAAATTCCCTATTTAATCATAGGACAGTACAAGTGTTAAAAAATTAGAAAAAGTATTTTTATTTGTATCAAAGTTCGCTTTCCGTCATTAATCAGAAGAATAAGGAATTAACCAACCACACATCATTCCCAACAACAGTAAATTCTGCAACTGTCTTATCGCGTATTTTAGGGACACATTAACAGACTTAAGCACGCTCAACACCGTATCACATTACAAAGCACATCAATATAATATTATGGTGTATAGCCAGGGGGAAGAAAATTAATTTCACTAAAACTCTCTTAACAGGACTTGCAGCGCGTATTTTTCAATATTCTTATTACAACAAATAAAACAAGAGACATTCTTTACCTCTCTCTCTCTCCCTTCCTTTCTCATTCACTTTCTCTTTCTCTTACTCACTCACTCACTCAATCTTTGGTGGTAAATAAAAAATGTACAATTTACACTTATCAGTATCGACTAACATCACACAACAACAGTGACTCAAGAGCAGGTAATTTTTTAAGAAAATCAAATGAAGCTGAAAATTATTTTGAAATCAACAAAATAAAGCTTGAAATTAAATGCATTGAAGCGTAAAAGCATTTTAAATATAATTCACACATGCGAACCATGCCACCACATCTGCGTGTTTATACATACATATATATTTACATTTAGAGACATACGAAAATGTGTTTATATAACATATTATTCTTAATCTTCAGCCAAACAGCCAAACGCAAACGCTGTAACCCACCACATGCTAGTCGAATCAAATGTCAGTTAAATGAAATGAAAGAAATAAATAAAAAAAAAAAAAATAAAAAAATAAGAAGAGAAAAAACCAAAAGTAAAAAGGAATAAAATTACATTTAACTTCAGATAAAATAAATCAATATTTAATATAGAAATATTGGATAAATGGAGGAACATCAAAATGTATGTTCAAAAACACAGACATCCGCAGGAAAATAACTTTAGAAAGACATTCATGTTTATTTAATATATTAGAAAATATTGCAACA